GTGTTCATGAGGGAGGGAGGGTGGGGAAGGGGGAAAAATGAGGAGTTGATATCAAGGGTTCAAGTAGAATGAAAATGTTTTGAAAATGGTGATGGCAACATATGTGCATATGTGCTTGACCCAATGGATGGATGTATGGATTGTGATGAGAGCTGTAAGAGTTCCCAGGCGTGGGAAGCGGTTCGGCAGCACCTCGTTTAGCAATGTCCAGGAGGAGCTGCTGCTGTTTACTTTCAGCCAGGTTAAGGGATTCTGATGATGGCGGCACCTACTACTTTGGCAGCAGGAAGAGTGAAGTATCCTATTGGGATAGGACTCCTTCCTATATATAATTAGACATGCCATGGATCAAGAGGCATATCCCCTGCCCCTCCCACCCCCAATGATGTGTACAAAAAGCCTTATGTGATATTGCTGATGAGATCTATATGCCCATAGTACATGATTTCCCTTGTTTCTTCTGCACTCCATCTACCCACTTCCCACCACTATGGGACTATTATGAAGCAAATTCCAAACATAATTCAATATGTTATCTATAAGAGATGAGGGCATTTTTATTATTATTATAACCACAATAGCATCGTTATGCCTGAAACAATGAAGTCTTTAGTATCAAACATCCAGCCAGTCATCCATTTCCCTGCCACATAATGATTTTTACAGTGTGTCATTCCAATCAGGATTCCAACAATATCCAGCAGTGGCTTGTGTTGAATTTCTCTTTTCAGCCTCCCTTGATCTACAGGGTTTTTTTCCCCTTCATTTAACCCTCAGAACTTAATTGTTTATAAAAAGAAGGGAGGGGTGTCCTATATTCTTTCGGATGTTCTAGATTTTCAGCCCTTGGAAAGAAGCGGCAATGTTCGTCCCATAGTAACCATCCACTGTCCCGGCGGAGACAGAGCTGCATTCTCACTGCTTACCAGAGTGCCTGTTTCATAGTTTAGGAGGAAAGAGGAATTTCGGAATCTGGGGTTGGCTCTGGAGTCTGTGGGCAAAGGCATGTTGTTGCGATACCAGATGTAGTGAGGCCGGGGGGAGCCCTCGCTCTCCTGGCAGTGCAGCGTGGCCGACTTGCCCACCGGCACTGCTTTCGGGACTCTGCAGATGGGGGTTACTGGCTTCACTGTGGAAAAACAAGGGTGGGTGCTTAGCATGTCAGCAGGGTGGCTCTGATCATGTCCACCTCCATAATCAGTGCCCAAAGCAGAGGAGCCAGCCCGGGCTCTTCCTTGAGCACATCTGTGGAATGCAACCAGTCATCAGTTCTGCTTGTCCTCATTGTTCATCATCCCCCC